CATGGGGACAGAAGTGTTACGAACCACCTGAACCCTGGCCGCTCAACTAGGGAGAAGGGCTGGCTATCCAGAGCAAGCATCTCCCCAATGCTCTGGGTGATCTTGTGCACCTTGGGATTGCACCCACCACTTTCTGTTCACCTTTCCCCCACTGGTCCAGGGTGGCCTGCCTCTGCTTTGGGGGAAAGGGGGCTTTGGAGCGAGTGGGGGACTTTCCTTTCAGCATGCTTGGACTGGTGCCAGGCTGAGCAGGAAGAAGGGCAAGGGGGTGGTGCCTCTTCAGATGCAGCAGCATGGCCGTGGTGGAGAAGTGCCTCACATCCTTGCCACAGCTCATGTGCCATCGTCAGTGCTGGCAGATGGCAACCCTGGGATCATCTGCCACCTCAAAATGACCCACACTACACTACTCCCCCGCTTCTGGGTTGAGGGTGAGGATCCTGATTTTTCTCCCTTCTCAGCAGGCTGAGGCTGAACAGCAGGAGAAGCTGCCTCAGCTGAGCCACATACCTCCACAACCTCAGCCTCCTCTGAGGTGTTGTTTTCCAGAGGAGACCTGGGTGTAGGGGAAACTTGAGGAGTGTGGAGCACAATCTCTGATTCCCCCTCAGTCCCCAGAATTGCTTGAGCCAGCACTCCCACCACCCCTGGTTCCAGTTCCACTTCCTCCACTGGCAGTGGGAGGCTCACACTGAGAGCTGAAATTGGGGTGGAGGAGGCAGTGATTCCACTGTAGGTGCCCACTTCTAGACTGAGTGAAGGTGGTGCTGGTACATGGACATCAGGTGCAGATACTAAGCCCACCTCCTAGCTTCCACTGATGTCATGGCTGCTTGGGAATAGAATGTGTCTGTGTTTGGGAAGCAGGGGACTTGTAGCTCTAGCTCTCCCCCTACCCCCTCTCCCTTCCCTGAAAGAAGACCTAGCACCTGCCTTTCCAGCATGCTTCATATTGATCTTTCCTGTGCTGTAAAAAGGTGTGTGTGCGCACGTGTGTGTGTGTGTGTGTGTGTGTGTGTGTGTGTGTGTGTGTAAATCCTTTTCTCTTGTGTTTTATTCCCTGTGTTGTGTGCGTGCACTGGCCTCTTCTTTGAATGTTTGCTTCAGTGTTAAGAGTTATGTAAAAATCGTGTGCTGTCTGTCTGTCTTCTTCTGCTGTGAATATCTGATTTTTCTATATTGTGGGTCTCTGTGTATGTGTGTGTGTGTACGCGTGCAATCAATCTGTGCCTCCCTGCACAGTGATAGATCACACTAGCTGGTAAAACACACCTTTCTTTTTGCAAGGGTTCCAAAAGAAAAAAGAGCAAATATAAACTCAAAGAAATAAATTGAATTGTAATACTAATAATATTTGAATAGAATCGCTAAGCTAAGCTAAATCCTACCCACTCCTTCATAACAAGAAAAAGGAGCAGGCAAGTCTCAGTCTGAGCATTCTTCTGTCACACAGTTTCTGACAGGAAACAAGCTGCAAAAGGAACAGAAGGGCTGCAAACAGAGGTTTTTATGATGTTTCTAGTCCCATCCCACAGACGCTGCCACTGGAAAAGTAGCCAGGGAGAAATCCTTCTCCTTGGCTACCTACAGACGTCAGTCTCCCCCCCTGCTCCCCTTCCCACTCTCCGTCCCTCCCCCTTCTAATTGTGAATCAATATGGATGAAGTGGATCCAAAGTGCTTTGGATGCTCCGACCCATTTCAGATATCTTTGCTGAGGCCCCACTTCAATCTGGACATGCTGCTTCAGATGCCAAAGTGTCCTAAGTGACTCTGGATCTGAAGCAGGATCCAAAGACTTGCACAGCCCTATTACCCATAACACAACCTAGTGGGGTATGATATAGGATCACTCTCTAGAGATATGAAAATAATTTCTTATTCCTGTAATGGGGACTATTAGAGTAACATGTAACATTACTTTCAGTGTAATTTTACTTTTAGTAACATTACCCTATGCTATGACTTTTAGGGGGTGTCTACACATCACCCTACAGCAACATAGCAAAGCACTATGTCACCATATGGCATGCCATGGTATTGTAGCAATAACATGGGTTTAAATGCGATTGCCAGTTATGTCACTGTAGCAGTGGACTCCTCAGTTATAATGTGCTGCTATGGCAATGTAGTGGCAATATCTAACTGTGCGCCGTGCACACAGTGAAGGAACCCTTATATTGTGCCATGCTTTAGTACTTCCAAAAGGAAGTATTAAAGCACAGCACCATAGCAATGTCACTATATGGTGACATGTGGATGCACTCTTAGAGTAACATTACTGCTAGTAATCGACTTACTTTCATTTCAAACTAGTACCATATTCACATTTTATAAATATTCACCACTTAATGGAAGAGCTTTTCCACATGAAAGATCCATGAAAAATTTACAGGCATGTGAATACATTTAATCATGGAGACAATATGCAGAAAAATGGAACAATGTAACAGCCATAGCAAAGCATTAGAAGATTTTTAAAGTATTATTATTGAGAACTCACTGCATAATGTCTGATTAGATCCTTTTAGCACAGGTGCAGAAATGTTGATACCACCCTCCCTCCTTGTGTACTTTTGGATCTAATTCAAAGTAATTTGGTTCCAACTTATGATTTTTGGCACCTCTTGATGGATCACGGTTTTTTCCTGTTATTTCAGCATTGAGTCTGAGCACAAGATATTTTTTAAAAGCATATTAATTATGTTCATTTTTGTAAATACTAGGACTGTGTGAAGCCTCAGTCTGTGATTCAATTTGGAGAAGATTTGGCCTGATTTGGAGGCCGAATCTCTGAATCTGAATTGAATTGGAAGAAGACAAAAAACCTCTGACTTGATTTGGAGACTTTAAATTTAATTCAGAAAAGATTCAGAGAATATTCAGATATTCAGAAGGCAGTCTTTCATGGGAATAGAAACTGAGAAGAGGGAGGGGTAGCAGGGGGGAGGGAAGACTGACATCTCTAGCTGTCCAGTGACTGTGATCTCTCCCTGAGCCCCCTTCCAAACAGTGCTCTGCAGGAGGGATGTAGAAACAGCATATAAGCCTCTGTTTGCAGCCTTCTTGTTCCTTTAGTGAGCTGTTTCTGTCTGAGAGGTCTGAAAAGTATCAGACTGGCTTAGCTTCCTACTTAAGTCAGTCTCCTGCTACATTTTGTTCTTGGAAAGGTTTGGATATAGCTTAGCTTACCAACTAGAATCCCTCTAATTATCCCTATCCAATCTATTTCTTTCAGTTTATATTTATTCATGGAGGGTTTTTTTTCCCCAGCACGTTTTAAAAAGAAAGCTGTGTTTTCCCTGGCAGTGTGATCCATCACTGTGCAGGGAAGCACATATTACACACACACACACACACACACACACACACACGCATCATAGAAGTCAGATATTATTACAACACAGAAGAAACCAGACATTCATAGAAGATGACGACGAAGAGATTATATATAGTTGTTAATATTATTAGTTCTCGTTACATGTAGACTAAAAACACCACAGAAGAAGTCAGATAGAGATTTAGATTAACACACCAGAATTCAGAGAGTCATAGAAGAAAAAGAAGAAGAGAGATTATTTTAGATAAACAACACACTCCAGTAAACACAACACAGAAGAAGACAGGCACAGTCATATATCAGAAAAGAAGATGATGATGACATATATTATATTATTAGTCAGTTAAAACACAGAAAAACATTTTCCAGCACAGGAAATATTAATATGAAGTGTGCTGGAAAGACAGGTGCCAGGTCTTCTGGTAGGGGAGGGAGAGGGGCTAGAGGGCAAGAGGGAGAACTGGAACTGCAAGTTCCCCCCTGCCAAACATAGACAAATCCTCTTTTCTGGAAGCCATGAGTCTTCTGCTGCCAGTGGAAGCAAGGAGGTGAAAGCAGTACCTGTCCCTGCACCTGCCCCACCTCCCCCAACTCCAGAAATAGGCACCATCAGCAGAATGATAGCCTCGCACAGCCCTAGAGACTTCAGACAGAACTTCAGATCTGGAGAAGCTTTGGCATCTGAAGCAGTGTGTCCGGATTGAAGCACTGGCTTCTTTAGGCTTTCTGAAGTGGTTCAGAGCTTCCGAAGCACTACAGAAAAGCTTTGGAGCCGCTTTGGAGTTCCAGCCATAGGGTATAATGGGGAGACAATGATGTTCCAGGGCCACAAGACTGGAAGAGGGGGAAGCCGTAGTTACAGGTAAACCCCAGTTCAAAATAGAAAGAAAAGAAAGCCCCAACATACCTCTTGTAGGGGCCGGGAGGAGCAAGGAAGCGCGCACCAAGAAACCGCCCGTGTGGTTCATTAACTGTGCTCATATCTAACTGGGGCTGGGTGACATCAGGAGGGGACGCCACCCAGCAGAAATAAAGTGTGGCTCCAAAGATGCAGGAGCCTGGCTGATGGCTGGAGAGCCAGCAGGGAACCTCCAGGCCAGGGGCACACAGCTGCGGTGGCTGGCAGCTCACGAAGGAGGAGACAGCTGCAGCTGCAGAGACAGTGAGGGCAGCTGCAGTGAAAGAGGCTGCAGGGATTCCCTGAGCCAGAGAAGACCGGCAGGGATCAGGGACACCAGCAGAGAGGCAAGCAAAAGGGGCAGTGGTAGCTGCTGCAGCAGCTGGAGCAACAAGAGCAGCGAGAGAGCTCAGAGCCAAGGAACGGCGGGGAGCAAAGATCTGGAAGAGAAGCCAGCGGGAGCATCCATGGGGATAGCTGTGGTGGATGCAGCGGGAGACCCCAAATGGAAGAAGCCCAGCGGGGATTAAGGGCTCCAGCAGGTGGACCCACAGCGACCCCAGGAAGAGCCGGCTGTAGTGATCTGACCTCAGGCAACAGGGGCTATGACCCTAAATTGAAGCAGAACCTAGAGGGAGAGAGAAAGAGAGAGAGAGAAGAGTCCTGGTTGGGGCAAGAGCCCAGACCCCAACTCAGGGTGCCCAGGCCTAGGGACACTGAGGCGCTAGGGAAGGACGCTCTATTTTCCTTCGGGTGCTCTTACCCTTCCTTCCATGCGGTTACACCTCCCTGGTGGTCATGGTGGTGGGTTTGTTCACGTCCGGCGTTTCTGGGAATAGAGTAAGGATCAAGGCAGGTGTCATGGTCCCTTTTGTTATGATAGGTCCATAGAGCCCTCAGCTGGGCAAGGGGCACACGGGGAGCCACTGTCAGTAGACACTGAGGCTAAAGGCTCAGGTAGGCGAGCAGGAAACCCGAAGGCCTCCTAGCCCTCACACCAGAGCCTGGCCAGGACACCAGGGCTCACTGTGGAGGGACTATACAAAGATCAGGGTAAAACCAGCAGGGGCCAGCTGTAAAAATAAGCTTGAAAGCCCGTCGCAGAAGGTGGCGCTTGGCCAGGGTGAAGGGAAGGTCGGAGCCCTGTGAGTGCCTGCCTAGGGGCATGATGACCCTGGAGGCTCCCTCAAAGGGGCCCCCCCTCCACAGAGGATCCATTCAAAGTCATGGCAGGTGAGTTAGGGGGTTTCCCTGACATCAGCCTAGGTGCCCTCTTGGGTCCACGTGCAGGCCCTGGGCAAGTCAGATCGGCCGCCCAGGCGAAGGCGGCTCGGGAACGCCTAATAGAGCAGAGGTGGGCACAAATGAAATGTCTATAACTTTGTTGTTTATTGTATGATTTGGATGAACTTTGCAGGAATTATAGTATCTGCTGAGAGCATGAAGCCTGCAAAGTTTCAAGAAGATTGGTGTAGGGGTTCGGGGGCAATTGCACCCCAAATTCTTGAAAGCAAAACTCATGTCAACATGTAGGCGTTACAACACGGGGGGGGGGTGAAAACTGCAGGGGTGGTGGCTCCTGGTGAGGCCACAAAGCCTGCCAAGTTTCAAGATCAGTGCAGGGGTTTGGGGGGAACTGCACCTCAAGCTTAAGACAAGCAAAGCTCATGCCATTGGTGCCATTGTGTGTGTTAAGTTGCAGCAGGGTGAAGGCTGTAGGGATGGTAGCCCCTGCTGTGGCCACGAAGCCTGCCAGCTGTCAAGGAGATAGGTGCAGGGGTTCTGGGGCCCTGTACCTCTAGCTGCTGACAGACAAAACTGATGACATGGGTGCTTTTGCAACTGACTGTCCGTCTTGGGGTTTGGGAGACACTGCTGCAGGCCTGGCTGCTAAGCTACTGTGTTACCAGTTGCCAATCAATCATGATTCACTCAGGGACCAGCTCAATACACAGTACCTAGCTAATGTAGCCAGTTAATTACCATTAATTAACACCTACAAAAGCAGAGACTAAGGAGAGGAAATCACCAATACAGACAATCAACTGCCCCAAGACAGAGACAGTCAGTTGCACAAGCACCCATGGCACAAGTTTTGTCTGTCAGCAGCTAGGGGTGCAGTGTCCCAGAATCCCACTACACCAATCCCCTTAACAGCTTGCAGGCTTCGTGGCCACAGCAGGGGCCACCCCCCCCG